TCTGTGAAAAGGAAGCTTCAAATAACAAATCACAACTTTTGAGGCAAATATTCAGAATTTCTGGGTATACAGATATTTGTATTTTGCTAATTCAAACTAAACAATACAATGTCAGAGAGTGTCACCTAAAAACAGTTCCTACAAACTCCTAAGCATGCTTTCTAAAACTGCACAGGGTTCCTGGGACCTATTGCAGAGTACAATAACTCCGAATAAGGCATGGAAACAAATCAATCATTTTCTTCTAGCTTTGCTCATATTTACTAGTGTGTTTTATGCAGGATAACTAAAAGGAATTCTTTTCTCCAGGAACTACTTGCACAACATGAAAGCTACGTAAAAACCACTGTGGTTAGCAGTTTCCCCATGCTCTTGAGATTCCTCCAGATGATATGAAATTGGCTCCAAGGCTGGTCCTGCAAATACCAATAAGATTAATACCAATTTATCAGCCATCTGATGTTGGTGCCAGTGCTAGTAGGGAGCATTGCTTCTTTTCCTGAAGATGCCTGCTGCCTTCCATCCATAAACCAGTGTACTGATGCTGTCAGGAGTCAAGGAGGTGACAGAATACAGTGGCTTCAATGCACAGGTCAGGAATTGTGAAATAGGAAAGTCTTCAGAGCTATAGCTGCCATTTCCCTTTGACAGTTCTAGAACATTCCTTGTCTCATTCTATTTAGCATTCCTCTACTTAAGACAACTGCACAGCTAGTTTTACTATAAGAGATAGTGGTTCTTCAACAAGTGGATCCCAACCGGGTCCTGTTAAATCAAATACAACTGATAAAAAGAATAATGATGATTGTGCATTGGAGAAAAGTGTTGGTCTCAAGTTCTCTTTTCCTCTGTGCCACAGGTGATGTGCAGAGGTTGGAAATACCACGGAAATAGTTCTTTTAAGCAAAACATTATCACTAACATGGTAGCAATTCCCTCCCCTCTCTGGAGAGGGTATATGTGGCAGAAACAACAATCCTCAGTTCTAATGATCATGGGTTAAGTGCCTCTTGATGTTCCGTGTTTTCACAATACATCTGTGGATAGCAATAGACTTAATCTAGAGAGGTTTGGCCCCTTGACAAATGGTCTCCACAGAGAGCAAACAGAACCAGGGCACTTAAATAACATTACAGTCACTAATGATATGATTATGGAAGGTGATAATGCAACAAGAATGACTCTCAGCAGCTTCCAGGAGTTACGACTCACAGGAAAAGAGTCTATTAGAAAAGAGGCACCCAACTTCTACTTCACACTGTTGCTATGATGTATAATCTTTTTAAATAGATGAAAGAAAAACCCACAAGACAACAGAGAAAAAGCTATTTTAACATAAATAACTTGCTCTCAGCAGGCTTTGTGGTTTAAAGGACTTGTGGTAATTGAGTTCCAGAGCCACAAAAGCAGTTCTCAGATCTGGTCATCTCATCACCCTACATTATACACCATGATGTCAACAAATTCAGAGAAGCAGGAGGAACAGTCTATGCATGTCTGGCAAAAGATATCATGTGCCAGGTGACAATTCTTATAGGGAACCATACATTAGATTAAGATTGGGGTTTTTTAAGTGGGAGATTTTCCTGAAAGTTTTGCACAAAGCCACTGAACCCAAAGTCTTATTTCATTGCAGTTCCTTTTACTGCAGAGAATTTTTTAGCACCTCCCCTGCACAGTTATTCAAAATGGATGGCCAAAACACCAGATAACATTCATTTAGGCACTGAATTACAGCTGAAATCATACCACTGATTATGCCACAGTTCATGCAATCCCACTTTCATATTCCCTTCTCACAGTCATTAAACTGAACTTCCACTTCATTTTCATTCTAGTGATTCACATTCTAAATAGTTACTTTCTCTTCTGCATTCACATCTTTTAGGTATCAACACACTGTTTAAACAGGGATCTTAGAAATGACACAGCAGATCAGAAAAACATTGATGCTGTCACGTTTCCACTCAGTTACTGTAAACTCATGCAATTTCTTTTTTAAAAAAACACAAAAAATCCCCTCCAGGCCACTACTGATTTGTGCTCCATTTCCTTCAGCTCCCTCCAGTGTCCCTCTCTTGTTTTATGAGATTGCCTCCTGGGGAACATGCTGAAGTTCAAAGCCAGGGAATGTTCCCATTGCAGTCAATGAAAGGATAGTTTACAGTTGGACTTGATGATCCTTAAGGTCTTTTTTAGCCTAAATGATTCTATAATATATGTCAGGAGCAGGATGCCAATTTCTATCTCTAGGATAAGCCTTGTATGGATTAAAGCATTTAAAAAGCGGGGCCTTGTGTGCTGGTCCCTAGGTCTTACCCCAAATACCTTCCTAGGTCACTAATCCAGCTTTCTTCAAGGAATCTTCATAATTTAAACAAAGGAATCTCCCTCTTCCTCACCAGCTCAGATCAGGAACTGTTACTAAACCTTAAAGGCAGTACATTTGGACACTGAAAAAAAGAAGTTAGGCAGCCAAGCAGCAAGTCTTATTCTCTCATTCCACTACATCACAGAGCTGAAAACAGTTTGTGTCCAAAGTTATGTGTGGTTCTGAGCTTCATGATCAAACATGACAGACATATTATATTGGGATTTGCACAGATGATGCCTCATAGACAGTGATATTATTGATGGAAAAGCAGTTATGCATATCACCAGGCTTCTGCTCAGTGGAGTTCATTACCTCATTCCCACCATTGCAGTGGAAGGAAGGCAGGAAGGAGGATGACGTTCTTTACTCCACTCCAGTTCTTTGTACACAAGAAGGATAAAAACTCCCTGTGGAGTTTAATATCAGCCTTATCTTAAGAGTGCAAGGGTCTGGGAAAAGCAAGTTCAAGAAAAGTTAGTTAATGCACCACAAAGAGTGCAATGGAAAGAGAATCTGAGGAAGAATGTCCAAGAGATAATGCCTCTAAATGCAACAGTGAAGATAGAGAGGCAAGACTCTCACCATAAATCAATACCATGTTTGTTCTTTGGTTCATCTCTCTCTAATTTCTGCCCTGAGATCTTATAATTCTGTGTAATAAGGCCCCTCACCACACCACAGTCTGAACTTCTGAGGCTCTCCTGGACTACAGTGTCTGTCAGTGCTCTGCCTGCTTGTTCTCCAAAACTGCTGAGAACTCATTCTGCTGCTTTAGAAAGAGTAACGACAGAGGACAGCCATGAACAGAACAAGAGCCTCGTCAGAGCAGGAGCTGAACTGACAAAGCTTTTCCTGAAACATCATCTGGACAGTCACGTAGCAACAACACGCCAGCAGCCATATCTGAAGCAAAGACTTCCACTGTCCTCTGAAGCCTGGACATACTTTCCTCCAGAGACTAATACTAAAAGGAAAAACAAATAGACCCAGATTGCCTGCATACCTCCTGGGTGGCCTGCTATCTGATCCACTGTTAGCTCTACTACTTGGGTTCAGCACAGAAAAACAAGATTCCTTTTCTTTTCTACCACAGAGGGAATACTTGTCACTTCTAGTGCCCATCTGGTACCTACAGAACCAGGACAGGCCTCTGTATTTGCAAAGCCATGTAATAATTTCTAAAAGCAATACATTTAGTCCAACTTGGGTATAATCAGAGAAAGAAAACTACAGGCTGACTCTCAGAGAGCACTTCTACCAGTGAACTCAAAGTTAGACTGCTCTAAGAGAAGTGGAAGAAGCTCACTGCATATATCATTTGAAACAAAAAAGAGCAATACTGTTAGGAGAAAGTGTTCCTCAAGATGGGTTTGCTTAACAGGAGTTAGACTTGGAAAAGCTGTATTTCATAAATTGTTTTCTGAGGACTGGACATGACTGTTCCCCACACTTCCAAATCCAAGATCAGGAGGATTTTAGTAGATGAGCTACAAACCAGACCAACACAGAATAGAGCATACAGTTTCAGGGGACAGCACTGCTGCCTTTTAGGCAGTTTCACAGAACCTGGGGCAAAATGCTAACCCTGGCTTTATTCTTTCTAAGATATGTCTAAAATCAAAAGCTTTTTCTGATACCTGTCCCGTGAAATCGGTGCAAGTGTTATGTGCCAGTGTTAAGAAACGACTCAGGCTTTTATAGCTCAGTTTATTTAAAGGGAAAGCTACTGTCTTTTCTTCCAAACTCCTGCCCCCTGCAGCTAATGCTTCATAAAGAGCTGGTTGTGAAGAAAAAAAAAGTATTTTATTATTTACTTTAAAAGATGGACTCTGCTTTTATTAAAGACTTGCTCCAGGGTGCATATCATGTGGCGATAACGGCTCTTGTCTTCTGCTCTAAGTAACAAACAATATTATTCTTAGGAAAGAAAAATCTCAACATTATATCAAACCAAGACTGTCCTGCACACCCAGCATATATCACAGGATGAGCTGTCTCTAACTGCCTTCTACAGCTCAGTTACAAGCAGAACCAAAGGCCTAACCCATCTGAATACAAACACCAGGCAGAGCTTGATAAGCACAGCAACAGCCATATAGGAACTGGATTCACTCTACAAAGAAATGACCCATTCTCAAGCGGTCAAAACTTGCTTTGTAAAAAAACTGCAAGAGATTAGAAAGAGCAGGGCTCCAAGCTGCAAACTTCATTTGGTCAAGGACACACAAAGGAATATTTCTTTGTTTTTTACAGAAATGACCAATAAAAAAACCTCTCACAATAGCACAATGCCCACAGAAGCTTACAGAAAAATATTACAATGTAGTTTCAAAAATGGATGCTGAACTGAAGCTACTGCACATATACACTCTGTTTCTAACCTTCAGCAACCTTTGATGACGTATTTTGGGTTTTGTACATGAATTACTTATGAAAATGTAATATTGGGGACTCCAGTGTTTAAGAAATCTGAAGGAAGAGGATGGAAACACCCAGTAGAAGTAACCACGAACATCAGCAGACTGAAATACACATATTTCTTTGAAGTGACATTGCTTTCTGCACACCTACAGGGAAGTGATGAATTACTCTCCAGAGAAAAGTAAAATTGTACCTATTCCCTTACCTGGTAACCTTCAGTCTTCTTTTGGCACCATTTTAACAGAGCATTCCTCTTTGAACCACCATACTCTCGAGCCAGGGCTGCCAGTGGGTCCTTTCTCTCCACACTAATCCAGGGAAGCAAACAGAACAGATAAATATGCTTGAAGTGTCTTACTCTTTACCAGTGTAAATAATATCTGCATGACAAAGCAGAATGGCAGCACAGAACCTAAATGTAAACCAAACTGCAACAAACTGTTTGATGGCGTGTGTTAACCATGCATTTGTGCTATTATTTTTATCAACTCCACTTATAACATTTTCCCGTAATCTCTTGCTTTACATATTGAAAACTGGAATATAGAGCGTAGAATGGAAAGAAACTATCTAAAGAATCTGTAACAGCAAATTCACATCCAATTGCGCTGCTGCAGAACAAGCTCTTGAATAAAATGAAGAATCTGGAACCTGTATTGCAGTCGAGGCCAACAGTCAAAACACCTGCATTGTCCCCACTCTGCAGCTTCTACTGTTGGAAATAATGGTGGCGATTAGAAGAAAATACATCTTCTGTCAAGACAGAAGAAAGTTATGTGTCCACCTTTCCCTTAGACTTCAAAGCTTTTAGCTTTTAACGCACCGAACATGCAAAGCTACAGTAATACCACTTGTACACATGATGGACTTCTTGTATGTAACTTAGTGGCTCCTGAGAGCTTGCTATCCTCATTTTGCCATGATTCCTCATTTTACCATGATTGCTCATTTAACACATAACTTTGGTTATTATAATCTGAATTATGACACCTGGTTCTGCTACAGCCTGGTAATTCTGAACTGGACAGAGCAGCCATCAGAGTTTTCACTGGAGACAGGGGTCCACCACATTAAAACATCCATCATAGTGTCAGGTAATGCTGTCAATCTTTCTGTGTGCTGTTTTTCCCAGGAAACAGTTGGTACCTGAGTTTGCTTTGGGGTTTCAAGCTGCTGGGGGTAGAGGTAAGCATTCTGCTGCTGAAGGCCATAGGAGGTTTGCTCAGGGATTCCAGGGAGGGGCTTTTACGCAGGTAATGGTCTGGTTTCAGCTCTTCATTTCTCCCCTTCAGAAGGTCTGTGGGAATTAAAAAAACTCCTGTCAGTCTGCAGCCTGAGGAATTTGATTAATCACTGTGCTGCCACCCAGCACACAATATGCAGTGAGTTGTTTTGACTCTAAACAAATGTACTCATTTGTTCATTAAACACACATGGGGCTAGGAAACCTTGAGCAGATTAGAGGTGATCATAACAAGGAATGGCTTTGATGATTTCAACAGTACAGACTGCCTGGTTTCCTGTGATTGATACTCCTGCTGGGGGGTATGGGACTCAGGTGAATGAGGGGAAATACCAAAATCTACAGTCTTCAAGGTTCAAAAGCTGATCACCAGATATCTTCAGCAGATGACTGGCCAGCCCTAGTACAAGAATTCATTTTCTGCCATTAGTCATTTGTAACAAGAAAGCCTCTTGTCTCCTGAACACAACCCACCTCCAGGCAGCAGCAAGAGGCAGTTGTTATCATATGATGCTTGGCATTCTATCCGACAGGACTTTGGGAAATCTCAAGATATTCACAGCTGATGCATCTATATTTTTATTGCACATATTACATATTTTTATGTAACGTTTTAAATTGTATATATTTATACAAGTGTGTGTGTATGTATGTATAAAATCAACAAAAATAGTAGCCATAGAATCCAACAGGTTTTTTAAGAGACCCTAAAGAGATCATAGAAAACAAATTATCTCCTGATTCACATCAGTCATGAGGTACAATGATGTGTTACACAGGGAAAGCTGGCTGCTTCCTTTCTGTAGACAAACTGTCAACAAGGCCGGATCTATGCCAGCACATTATGAGTTGTTATCAGAAATTAATTGATTGTAGAACACAATTTGTTCTCCTTTTCAGTTCCCTCCCAATGTTCATTATCAGTTAATGCCATATCACCTAGAGGTGTGAATTCCTTCTTATCTCATCTTCAGCAAAGGTGTCTATCACTGAATCAGCCCTTAATTGCTTTTCAGCAGTAAGTGGGGTGTGTGTATCAGCAGTTGCCAGATAAACACATCCTTCAAACAGGCATGCAGCTGCCCTAGTTTTGCCTCCAGAGTTTTGTAAGCATGTGCGAGCTATAGGCATTTTGCACCTTTTCTCCAAGCATACAGGGCTGATAAGTTCCCATCTATTAAGTCCAGATGGAAAAGGACAGAAACCATTCCAGCTTGGCTGTTAGCAGAGTTTTGCACTGAACTGCATATACCCTAGTCAAGGTCTTCCTTCCTTCCACTCACTGTCCCTTCTTTGTGTGCATCATGAACCCACAGTGAACAGGAAATGGCACACAACGTACTTTGTGTTGGTTTTCTGCTATATATTCCAAATGTATGACTTTTCTAGCTCCTCATTATGCTGGATTTATGGGAATTTCCCTCAAATTTAAATAGTCACACCAGTCAGACAGGCAACCCATGAATGATTCTTGGGACTGTTTCAAACTTAAGCAAATTCTGCTTAGAGAAACAGATCTAGTGCAAAAGGCATATCAGTAAACAAAATGTGAACGTTATGAAGAGGAATGTAGGTTTCTTGCTAGCTTATAAGAATAGCAAAAAAGGGGCACTGTTAAATTGCCATTAACATAATTGGACTGGCTAATGGCATGGTCTAATCAGGAAGTGCTGTGCCAATCCTTCAGGATGTGTTCACACATGGTACAGAAAAAGGAAAGAGAAGGAAGGATCCCACAGAGGTGTAAAGAATATTGGTAACATCTAGATGGAAAGAAAAGATGAAGGAGGAGGCATATTAGGAGTCATTTGGAATGAGAAACAGGATAATAATTGCATGTGAAATATGCAACAGAAGGAAAATCCCATTCTGTTAACACTATATTTGCAGTATTTAAAGGAACTTTGTGGTTATTGGTTTGAATTATACAGTAGTGCTTGAAGTGGTGCAAGTTAACAGTACCCAGCTTTGTACTTTGAGTCTTACTTCAGTATCCTTCCTTTGACTTATTTTAGGTACTCCAAGACAGACCCAGTAAACTTCTGATTCTAAATGAAAAGATCATAAGCAAAGATCAGCTCTCTCCACAAAGTAAACCCTCTCCAACGATGTAACATTTGGGTCATATTAAGGACATCACAGAACCCTACCGTGGTACTGCTCAGATGGAATCAGCCAGAAGATTATTATTATGGAGACTACTTCACTCTGAATTTCCCTGGGGATATTTTTTAATTCAGTGTTGTTTGCATAGGGCTTGGATCAACTGCCTTCTAGAGGTATTTAGATTGGAACCAGAGCTATTACAGCTTTACAGTGAATAAGCCTTTGCTATGGATTATTGGAACTAAATTAAACCCAGGTACAAAGAGAAGCTGTAAATACAGGAACTTGTTAGATGGTAAACCATACTCAATAGAATTGTCTCTGGGTAATAACAGTAATTATCCATGGCCTGAAGTGGGACATTTATTATTAAGGACTGGCATTACATTGCACAGTTGATAGATTACTTCACTCTACAGTAAACTCGTAGGGATTAGAAAGGTCTTAAATTCTGTTTAGAATTATTGCATACTCTTATGCAAGTCATTTACTGGAAACCAACTGATACAAGTAAGTAAACTCTGTCTGTCCCACTGATAACTTCTGCTTGCTTAGCATTTATTCCTGCAGGAGAAGCCAGTAGCATAGAAAATATGTTATTTATTTATGCTGCCATCTACCCTATAACTCATTTTGCTGTTCAGATCTAGTACCTCTTCAGCTTTGAATGATGGGGAAAAGCTTATCAGATTAACTGAAGAGTCTAAAAATGAAGACAGGCTCTAATTTCTCTCCTGTAACAGCAAATTATTGCAGAAAATCCAGTCTACCAATGAAGAAGTTGTGACTGATGACTTTTTTTGTCCTTCCCTGCAGTTTCAGTGAGGTTTCACTACAGGAATGTATTTCAACTGTCCTTAAAAATTCAATAATCTGTTGTTACTAGCTTTGATTACAATGCAACTACATTCAGGACTAGATAATCAAAATAAAGAGCCCTAGAGAAAATGGGAAACAAACACTGGTAGAAGAAAATATTAAATGACAAGAGAACAAAAGCAAAGTGTGAAATAAAAACAAACGCATCTCTTGAGAACTCTCAAAACAAACTATTTCAAGCCCAACTATGACTGCTCCTAAACCAGTCACATCAGTATCTACAATGTTTGATGTATTTCAAATGAAGCTCAATTTAAAAACAAATAAACCCTCAAAAGACAGTGCTTTGGCATTGTTCCAGATACATACATGTTGAACAAAATCCAATCCTCTCCAGTTCCACAGCATGGATTAGAGAGGTGCCATGGACACTTTGGAATAAAGAAGGCAAGTTTATATTGGCAAGCCATTACAAATCAGCTATTTTTTAGGTTTCTAAGGCTACGATCAAGATGGGAATGGAAACACAACAAAATTAATAAGCTCTCTGAAACAAAGACTGTGAAGACACTTTGTTTCCTTTAACCATACAAGAAGAGGAACAATGGCCCAGGCAGAGGCCAACAGTTAATGGCAAGGGCTGGTAAAAAGAGGCAACTTTTGTATGTTTACTGCAACCTACCTGCAAGAGGAAGGTCTGAAAGATCTGCATGTCTGGCGATACCTTTGTTGACTGGCTTGGCATTATTATAAGCAGAATGTCTCTGTGAAAGAAATGTACAAAAGATAATCCGAATAATATCAGATATCATGTTTAAATAGGTAACCAGAAAGATGTTTCTGCTACCTCAAGATCACAAAGCAGGCAGAGGGATACAGAAACCCTTCAGCAAGGTATCAGCTGTACCTAGAGCTGCAGAAATGGTTGTGAAAAATAAATTAACAAAGGGACAATATTTTTAGCTGGTAACACGTTCGTTCCTAAACTATTTCACATTCCCATTTGTATCATATTTTCCTTTTGCCAACCATAATCTAGTGTCACAAACCCAAAGTAAAAATGCCTGTTCCTAACTCGGCCTCTGTCCCCAGCACCTCAAATCATAAGTCTGAAGGATTCTTCTCTCTGAAGCCCCAGCACCAGTTTTCAGCATTAACACTCCCTCAAGCCAGGCATTAGCAGAAGGCTCCCAGACCTCTGTTTAATCTCATTCTTTTAACTTCCTTTGCTGATTCTTTGAAGGAAATGTGCTCACACATTTGTTAAGTAGCCTTTCAAAGTCATCCGAGTTCAAAACACTCACCTAAGCACTTTAGCCCCACAACTGTCTTTTACCCAGAGTGAGAGAGGAACATCCTGTTGTAAATTCAGTGACCACCTAGTCAGAAAACATACAATGGCTTCTCTAGCCTAGAAAGGTCAGCAGGCTGATTGCATGCTATCTTTAGCACATATAGAAATTGGGAAGCACAGTGCATTTGCTTCTCTATCGTTCACAAAAATGCTATTCCCAGTAACACTGCACACAGGTTTGATAACTGCTAACAGAAATTGGTGCAGTGACATAAGAAGTCCAGTATTCCAGAGAGTTATGATTCAATAGGCAAAAACCTCCAATTGCAAGAGATCTTCATTCAGTACTGTATGATCTTACTGGATAGCTGGGAGCAGACATCTTAAAAACTTACTACCCCACATCTCTTGGCTTATACACCAGCTATGTAGTTTAGTCTGATGTTTCTGGTAACTCACTCCCAACAAGCAACACCTATTTTTCTGGTCAACAGTGACTAAAGTTCAGAATTGTATTCCAAAGTGTTCACATCTGTCCACGGAGACTCTAAACTGAAGGCAAAGACAAAGACAAACTCACTTCGATCCTTTTTTATTAGTAGCACTACAACATTTGATGTTTTGCAGCAAATAAACAGACGAGTTTCCCTTTCCCCTTGTCAACATATGCATGTTAGCATGCTGAAGCTATGTCATGCTGCAGCAAACACTGCATTTCAAAACTATGAGGGCTGAAAGAGCTCCTTGTACCTGCATGGGGGAAACAGCAGCTGCTGGGGCTGTCCTCACTGGAATTCCACTTAAAGGGCTCCTTGGGACTTTGTGAACTGTGATATTTTGTCCAGTGCTACCTGGAAGGACAAAACATGGAAACATCTGCATTTCAAAACCAACTATGTCTGTCTCATCAGAACAAGGATCCACTCGTAGTGATATGCCACAGATAGTATTTATGTAGCAAGCACTGACAGAAAACATCCATTAAGGAGCAGCACAAAAATGCTAAAATTACCTGCTTGGTGCTAGAAATGTTTTTTACTACAAAATACAGTGTTCAAATACCTGAGCATCCCAAGTCAAATGATTTTATCAGTGACTTCACAGTGGCTGTAGATTCTGATGGTGTGGGAGATGCTCTGTTAACGCAGACTCCTTGCCAGCGGTTGCTTGTATCTGCTTCTAGAGATTCTACCTCTTCAGCTATCAGCCTGCAAAGCAGCAACCAGATAAAAGTCAGGGGCAACAGGAAGTATAAGTAGAGATTGAAGGTCTTTACATGTGTGGTGAGGCAAATCCAACAATGCACATCTTTTATTGTAATGCCCAGAACATGGACTACTCATTAGAAGGTTCATGTTCTTTCCTTGAAGTGCCTGGCAATCACTGAGTCTAACAAACTTTCCTGCATTGTTAACCGTATGAACTCCATTCCCCATCCTCAAACAGGATGGAGAATTATCATAGACAAAAAAAAAACTTGATGAGACTTGTGAGCGATCAATAATTACCCGAAGATGGACTTTCAATACAGCACAGGGGCCAAGGGGCTACTGTGGTCCTCGGTGTGTAACAAGGAAAGTAACCAAAGAGAAAGATGTTATTTTACACTCTATGTTTTTAGTTGGTGTGGCCACAGGTGGAGTAATTGTTACCAGTTAAAATGCAACCATTGAAAATAACAACAGGTTCAGATAAGAGCCATAAAAATTAAACCAGAAAACCTACTTGAGAATAAAAAACTCTGGCAACTCAACTCTTACAGCTTATCACCAAGGCTGTCTGCTGAACATATAAACCCTCGATCACAATCCTTAGGCAGCTATATGGGGGAATAAAAGTGTTAAGTGCTTCATCTGAGCAAACACAAGAATACCAACATTCAACAGCTGGAATGAAGAGAGGCAAACTCAAAATAGCAATAAGGCTCATATTTTAACAGGAAGGATCATTAAGTTACTCTATTGAAAAGAAAATCTGAAGTCAAGATTAGGTGCTCAAAGAAGTTAGTCCATGGAAGACCACTGCTGTGTTAAACAGCAGATGTAATCATCCAGTGTAACTGCTGCTTCTAGTCATATCATATGCTTAACAGATTTGGCCAACGCTGCTTAGCACTGACACTGTACTTACCCAGTAGCTCTCAGGTAGACTTTGAGTATAATTACTCAGCTTTGGCTTAGAAAAGCTGCAATTAATAACACAGTCTAGTCACATAAAAAAAAAGAGTATTTATACATTACTTTCCTAATCTCCTGGCTGCTTACAAAATGCATGCTAATTTACAGGTCACCACTTTTCCTTACTTCTAAGCACTGCCGGCACCGAGAGCTATGTGAATGCAAAACCAGAAATCATTTCATAAGAAGGCTGGAGGTCTCCATCCAGAAAGTACCTATGGGGTTGAACAACTTCCACTGAGCTAAAAATAGAAGCCAGAGTTATCTTCTTTCTTTTTGGTATCACAGTCTACAAATACAAATACAGGGGTCTGAAGGGTGTCAATGAATAAGAGAATGAATCATGTTTCTATTTTTGGCAGAGCTTAAGGAGGTGCTGTCTTTAAGCAGACATTGGCTATTTCTTTGCTAATTCATTCAAGCTCCTGGTGTGCCAGGGCAGCCTGCAAAGGCAGATGGCTAGAGAAAAAGCCATTTTAGTTCCGTGCTCCATTTAATCCAATAAGGAGGAAAGGAGATTGGGTAAGGTTCACAAAGCTCTGAGGGAGCCAATGTTTTGCTGACTAACTTTAAGTTCTACCCTAGTTTTCCTTTTGTGGCTTCATAAAGCATAAACCAGACCAACAGGTGACAGTATCTGCACTTAAATTACACAAAAACTAAAGCAATCCTAAGTATAGAGGAATGATAGATTTCTGCCTCAAGATACCAAACCATTCACTGCAACCCATTACACTTCCAAGGATTAAATAGGCTACTATGCTAGAGTTCTGTCTAGTTATCCAGGTAACAAGGGTATGCACAAGGTTTGTGGAGTATTACCAGAATAAGAAAGAAACAGTAACTGCCTGGAGGCCAAGTAGCAAATCTTGAGACTAAAGCAAGCCAGAGGTATGCTCAAGGCAGCCCTCAATCACTTCATTGGTTAGGATTTAACTCCAAGAACAGCCCAAGCCTCAGGCTCGTCTGCTAAGTCTAGCCTTTGATTGCAGAAGGATGCAAACATGTTCAATAAAGTTAGAGTAACTAGACCAGCCTCTATGCTGTGCCACAGAAAAGTCCATTGAGAAATCACATGCCATTACTCTGGCATTGTGCAGTGTAATTATGAAGATTGAAGTGCTGGAGCTGCTACCGGTTCCAATTTTGTTAGGATGCTTCCTGTAATCTGAAGTTTGTATATTTGTAACAGGCTCCTAATGTACCCTGAAACAACCTCCTAGATTAAACACAATCACATCAGAAAACTGAGTCTTCTCATGCTGCAAACCTTGGCACAAAAGGCAGGAAGAATAGTGCCGAGACTCATTCGCTTCAACTAAAACCACACATGCCAGCCAACAAGCAATGGAGCATTATGAAACCTGGTGAGCATCTTCCATTTTTAATGAAGAAAAAAAAATCTGTATGGTAAGGGGATGCATGTATATGTACATATATAGGTGTCTTAAGAGATAAGTGGAAGAGTAAGAGCTTAACTTGCAGTAGCAAGCTAATTCAGGAGGACAGGATAGGAAAACATGACTTAAAAAAATTAATGACAAGCCATAACTCCAAACCAAAATTGACTCCTTGTACACAGAATTTATTCAGCTTAGTATAGCTTAGGCCATCCAAGAAGACCAAGTAAGCTCTGCTACAAAAAGGACTGATTTGAACTAAATGTCATTTACTACTGTATGCTTTCTTTGAAACAAGAATGAATGGTTTATATAGATAAATGCTGCAAGTGCAGCTGGCTTAAGTGGAGCAGCTCCAGGAGGAAACAGAGCACTTTAGCCACAAAGGAAATAAAATGTGCAGTCTTCATAAAACCACTGCCTCGTTTCATTCATTGGCAAGAGAAGTAGATGCAGTGAGCTCTTCTCTACCAGCAGGAGTTAGTCTCCTTAGTTTCTAGGTGTGGAATATGTGGAAAACAGACCACCAACAAGGTGCAAGTCTTTGTGCTTAACGTACAGTTTGGCAACAGCAACCTCCATGTGTTTGTGAAATTTCTAAGATGTTCTTTGTTACAGGTGGCCTAGGACCACAAAACCAGATGTTCAGAAATAATTACTCTGCAATCTAGTCTTTGATACAGTTCCTGTTGTTGTTGCGAATCCTCCTGAACTCCAAAGGATACAAAAAGACACACAGCTACTGATGCACAGAACGGAAGAGAGGCCAAGGGCAGGCAGCAGACAATTCCAGACACTTAAGCATTTATTTGGCACTTTAATATGTATTTCTTAAATGTAAGAAAACAACATTCAACAGCTGCCAGCACAGAAAAGAAAGGCAACACAAGTGTGCATATATGCATGCACTCCAGGAGCACGGCACAACGGTGAAGGCCATGCCAAAGCCAGGACATCCTGCAGAACTCAGCCTGCTCTGAGACCAGGTCCTTGCTAGGTCTTCACATCCAGAAGGAAGAGATGCGAATGCCACAGCCAAAACATGAAATTCCAGTCCTGGAATGAATCCTGATGATCTCCTGGTAGAGATGGTGACTTCTGAGTTTCTCCTTAGCATTCAAGTAAGGCTGTTTCCAGGCATCTCCAGTTGGAAAGCTGAACTTCAGCAAGTTCTCCCTGATCATCATATACTTCACCTGAGTTAAGGGCATGAGAAAGATTCCTTTCTGAGAGGATATTTACTAGGGGCTTGATATATTCATTTATTTTCGTTCAGATCTCTCCATCTGCAATTCTCACAGCCAGGACAAACCTCACATGCGACATTCTCTATGAAAGTCATAGCAGGACACACTTCTTGGGCCCCACCCCACTTCCTAAGACACACCAAGTCAGACATGCCACCCAGTGGTGAGTGCCTTGTCAATGCAATATTAAAGACGTGAAACCATCAAAGCAGCTGAAACTGAAAAAACAACTTCACATTTCCATTTAGCTTTTCTGCTGGATTTTAGTAACCTGCTTCTTGAGCATATACCTAAGTATTTAGACACACAGATCTAGGAATATAATACTAGATGGAGAACTTATAATGTGTATGCACATTCAGTCTTACAAGTTAGACATACACAGTTTTATTTTTTGCTTAAGCTTAAAATAGCATGTTTGAATTTCTGTTTCAGGGCAAATAATCCCCATCCCTCCAAAAAGCCCTCAAATATTTCAGTTCCCCAGATCTCTGGGTTACTTCTTATGGCCTCGTTGGCTTTGGACTAATTCAGAATTTCTTCCACCTCATGGAGTCTTCTGAAGCAAGAAGCCTTCTGAAACAAAGAAACAGGCACTTCCCCATGAGGAGGAGGTGGACCTGAGCAGCATTCACACTTTGCAGTACCCTTGACTTTTGCAGGCCAATAAAAAGCTTGAGGTGCTTTCTCAAATTGGAACTTCCCTTTTTCAGCTGCAAGTTGAAGATACGTCCTGAAGTGTCCCACAGGCCTGGCTGTGCCTCCATTCAGGGCTGTGTTAGCTGGTAGAGATCAGGCACCTATGGGGATACAGACAACAATCAGGGAAGTTATAAGAAGCAATACAATGCCCATCCTGATGTACAGCTCTCCACATTGATCATCCCATCATCACTAAATAGAAAGGAGAAGGGGGGAAATGCTGATGGTGTTGCTAGGAAGTTTGGAGGAGTGCCTTAACACTCCACTAATTCAGCTTTGGGAGATGATGAGCAAACAGCAGTACAAAGAAAAGAAATCTTTGCTGCTCAAACAGAAAGAAATGAAGTATTTAAAGCCAGGGAACCAATTTTAAAGGACAGGGCTGGTAGTGTTCCTGGCTTTCCTCTCCTCTAATAATTTAGGACTATTAATTTAAAATGGGTACATAAACCCCTCCAGGAAACTGCTCTACCTCAGTCACAGCATCTATTTCAGGGTTCTTATGCTAAAGGGCACGGAATAATTTGTCCAGCAAAATAAAACAAAACCCCCAAATAATCCTACACAACTCTGAGAAGTGACTAACTAGCGACTTGGAGCACTCGGAGAACCCTCCTCTGACATTCTAGTTTGCTTGCTTTCAGTGATAGCAGAATGAACTATTGAACCTCTATAAAACAGAACAGCCGCAAAACACAGGCACAAATGAGCAGCACATCAACACATAGAGACTGACAGCAGGGTTTAATACACAGTACAAGCTTAATTCCAAGAGTAAAAGCGTGTAACACTGCCATGCTGTGGCATTTGAGACTTCAGGAGGAAGAATAGAAGCAAATTAGTGGAATACACTGAAACCTTCACTTTAGACTTCTGTTTGGAGATTTGGTTAAATTGGTTTATTACTCTAAGAAGCCGCTCATGTAATCACAGACAGGATTTCCCTGGTTTCTGAGCATTACTCCCAGCCCAACTGGCTTCCTTCCATGTTCTTGGTTCAAGGCACATAATTCAAAATGATTTTGAGAACTTGAAGGGAAAAAGTCAAAGCGTGACCATGAAGCTTTCACTGCTGCTAAACAGCGTATTGCCAGAAAGGCTTGGAAATGGGTGTGTAACGAAGCCAAAAAAAGGCGTCCATAATTCAGGTACTTTCAGCAGCAACTTTCTTCCTTTGTGTTACAAACCCAATTCTTTTTTTTTAATCACTGCTTAAATATTCAATTCTAAAAGAGCTACAAAAATGTATTGAATTCCAAGGTGAGTGTTTTGAAAAAATGAAACTTGCTACAGGATCACGGGGTAATTCAGGTTGGAAGGGACCTCAGGAAGTCACCTAGTCTAGCCTCCTGCTCAAAGCAGGGTCAGCTATGAGGTCAGACCAGGTTACCCAGGTTCTTATCGTGTCTGGTCTTGAAAACCTCCAAGGATGGAGACTATATAATTTCAATTTCCAAAGCCTGTGAGGAGACAGTTACACAGCAGTTGATTGTAAAAGCTTCTGCATTTTCTTGCAGAGAAATAACATTAATTAGGATGTAAAGACATCATAGAGGACTGCTTGAAACATGGGTTAATCAATCTGTAGGTGTCAATCAGTACTAACTTGGGACAATTTAACTCCTCTCTTCCTCATTCCATTTGTCTGATGGTGGTCAAACCTCCCCCCAGCATTCTTAGTCATAGAATTAGACATTTAATCTGTGTTAAAGATGCCTTTGGGAGGCTCTTACCTTCATTCAGATGAACTCTGATGACCTCATCAGGATTTTTTTCTGCAAGTTCTTTGGCTGTTCCTGAACCAAAAATGACTTTTTGTCTGATTAGAAGAACGTAACAGTGAAATCAAACTTGGAGGCAGGAGCTCAGGCAGCCACAAGCAAACATTAAATGGCGGGATGTCGTAGAAGATAAACTGGCTTCAGGATCAATTTATGAGGTGGAGTCTAATGACACTCAAGAGATGACTGAGATTTTGCCAAAAACCTTTGAGTAGCAGCTATTTGGAAGGTACATTTTCCAGTCAGAGCTTCAAAATCCAACAGGAAGCTTTCACTAGGGACTGTCAGAAACTCAGCTGAGTGCACAGCTGCTCAGCATTAACAAAAACGAGGAATACTTTATAGACTGTGTCAAAGTATCATGCTACAAACTGTTTCCACCAGTGCTGAGCATGCATTGTAAGTCACCACACGTACCAGAATCTACTGCTGATTCTGAGCACTAGCATTTGTGAAGGCTGACTAAAAGCAACAATGAGACTACCCCAGAACTTTCTGGGTGAAAGAAGCTGAGGTGCTGGGGAAGACAGTGACCTCAGAATACAGAACCATCTGGGAGTGGAGAACTAGCTCGCAGCAGCAGCTTTGGCGACTTCAAGAACATGTTTCGTAGGTCATTTCAGTGTTAACATTTCAGTGCTTAGCTGTTATCACTGGTTTGTTTAGGCAGTGAATTGCATAGACTTCATTATGTTCTCCATACCACTCAGCAAAGAAATCCTGCACTCTGCATGGACACAGAGTCAAATCATACTTAAATTATTTTATACTTCAATTAAAATCACATGCAAAATTTGGTCTCAACTCCTGTCTTTGAAAGAGATTAAGTATTGCCCATTGCAGATAGTATATCTGGATCCATGACCAATGCAGTACTTGAAGCAAGCTATACAGATAGTTAACAGGACACAGAGACAGACATTTATTTATATGTATGTGAAAGAGGGAGACACAAATGCCAAATCTGACTTAATTAAATGCATGTCTGAATAGCTCCGTCTGGAGCTATGGATGGATAGATTCTGGGGATCTCATTTCAAAAGCAGTATTTGCAGCTTAGGCTTTTTATGCCAAAGAGCTGACAATGCAGCCATGTTCCTTATACATGGAAGCTAAACATCCCAGTTTGTGATTTAGCAGGTCACCTTCAGTTTAAGTATTATTATCTTCAGATTAGTCATTATCTTCAAGAATAATCTTCAGATAGAAAAAGAATAATGGGAAACTACAGGTATATGATTCCCACCCTTACATATGGACCCACACTATAGAAGAGAAATTTCCTTAAGAACAAACTAACAATGGAAACAGCCCAGAACTTAAGTACTGTCTGGTAATCATTTTGTCTGAACACATAGTCTGTAATAGCTTTTCTTTGCATCCACTGGGGACTCCAATCATGAAACTGGAGCTTAAACATATTCCTTTATTTTTCCAAAAAAGAAGTGTTTCCATTTCTTCAACCCAGGAATTCTGATGCATACACCTCCACACAAAAGCCCTCCCATCCTTTTTCTGTTCAGCTGCTTGTGGCAACTCCTGAATGGAAAGCAGCAAGCAACCACGTGCAACAAAGCCAGACTGCTATTCCACCTGAAAGAAATGACAGGATTCACTGTGTTCCCATGGCTATTCTGCCAGTGGCCATGAATCTACTAGGAAACAGATTAAATGGAAAAATCTAGAGGAGCAATATTATTTTGGCACACATTCTTGATAAACAGTATGACTGGTTTGTGTTATTTTGCCTTTCTTCATTCCCCCTGTACAGTTTGTCATCACTGTAGCTCTGCTTGCTCTATTTAAATCAATGCAAAAAAAAGAGCAAAGCAATGTCTGCATTAGAAATTTTGGTTCTCACTTCTAATACATCTTTTGTTTTCCATCTCTTATTCAGTACTTCAATTGTAGTAGGATTTTTGGCATGAAAGGTGGTGCATGCACTACATAAAAACCACATTATAAGGCATCTGTACTGGTTCTAGATTTAGTTGTAAAAGTCACTTTTGCTCTTACCATGACACAGAGGGAAGCCCCACACATACAGCTTACCCTGGTGGGGTACATCTCAGAATAGTTCACAATCACTGTTCCCCCTCCAACCACTGAGACTGCAGGAAATGTTTTACAGGTGTGTCCACTGCATGACAAAGTCAATTCTGGGCTAAAAGCTAACCCAGGTCAGCATCCAGACCATTTAACCCAGCTAATCACATAACAGGTTTCAAATTAAGGACAGGAGATGTGAAATGAGGAATCCTAGTACTTGCATTATACTCAGTTAACACGTATCAGACTTGTAGAACATAAGTCCAGCCTGTCCTCATTTTAATTTCAACAGATACAGTCCTTTCTCCTCTAAAGTTAAGCAGTTCTCTTCTGGATGTAGCCAAGCAAACTTTTCACAGATGGTTGAATACAACTGCACAGAGAGTTACGAAGGCAATAAACCACAGTAGAATACTGCATTGAGAACAAAGCTGTAGGAATATATTGGCAACTGTTACTTAATATTAAAACCTTCATGGCCTAGTTGACAGAATTAGATTGCAAAAAGAAAAAGAACAGAAACATCTTAGAATAAGAGACAACAAAATCTGGCAGAAGAGTTAAAAACAGACAACGTGCACGTCCAAGCCAATGAATTGTTATTGACAAAGCACTGTTTGCATGCATGTTAGCAGTCACAGACCAAATCCCAGCCTTTGTAAGTAACCAACCTGTTGCTGCCCTTCATTTCATCCAGCTCCTTCTGCAGTCTGGCACTCTTCTCCTCTTCCTCCTGAAGCTTCCTCTTTACCACACGGAGCTCCTGCTGGGCTTCACACTTAATATCATTGGCTACAACCACTGCAGTCTGCAGATCAGCTTGAAAACGCCTCCACTCTTCTGTATCTTCCTGCAAAGAGCAATCAGAACCCCAAACTGTTTGCTGTAAAAGTGCACCTACTTGAGCTGAGCACTTTCTTATTGATCTGTCTTGCACTGATCACAAGCAACCAGGCTTCCACCACAGTTTCAAGATGACACCGAGGTCAAACTAAACACTTGCCTCTTTACACAGTATTGACAAGATTGCCAAAGAAGAAACTGATGCTGAGCTTTCCACTCTAATACAGAAAGTAAATCACAGTTTGTCTTATAGCTATGGATCATTCAGACTTGTGATACTACTACAGGCACTGTTGCTGCAAAGAGTTCATTGCTACTGATAATTCATGAATCAGGAATGGCTGTTCCAAAGTAGAAGTTCATAGGTAGAAAAAAAAAAGCAACAGCAATTTGCAAAGGATGTATTATATTTTTCCTTTACAGGCAAAAGGACCCAGCTAGAAATAAATGAAGAGAAATGGTGAATGAAAGGATGTAGAACTTTCTACAGTTGTTCTAGAAATTACAATGCTTCTCTCAATCCAGTATACTGCAAGAAAAGCTCAGTTTAGCTTTGTGAAGGAGTCCAAGCCTTACCTTCATTTTCTTAGTGAGAGCCTTCAGCTGCCTCTCTGTATCTTGTTTTTGTTCTTCCAGGTTCATTGCTTTACCTAGGAACAGTAAAAAAGGAAACAGATTGTTAAACACATGAGCAAGGCTGAAAGGTGAAAATGGGAGGGCAGACAAGCCTGGTTGGTCTTGCTTCTAGTAACACCACTAAAAAGACTACATAGATTCTGTCAATGGATCAGGAATGGAATCAATGGTAGATTCATTACCCAAGCATCTCTGAAACAGGTCATTATTTTGAAGCATTAAACCAGACTTCGATTTACAGAATCACACATCCAGGATCACTCACTCCCCAAAACGAGACATACCTCTCATTCCACCAGGTGGCAGCTGCCCCTCCACAACGCAGCAGCAACCTTGACTGCACAGCTCTCCCTAGGCTTTGCCCTAGAAGCTCTTTAAAAGGCCAATAATTCCACTTCTAGAGTGGGCAATACAAACTTCGCTGAAGAATAAAGCTTGGGGACTGTGTCTAATAATATTTCTATAGCACTAACTTAAAATAGTGACTTTATGCATGAACAGAAAGAACTGGAATGCAATAATCTTTAAGGCCCCTTCCAACCCAACCCATTCTATTACTGGCCCAAATTGGGAGTATTTCTAAAGCGAGGCCCTTGTCACACATCAAGACATGCCTCCTCCTCCCTGTTGCTGCTATAACAAAGCCTCTAAAGTTCACCTGAATCCTTTGTTTTGGCTCCACCTACTTTCTAGCTCACTGATGAGCTGGTTATTGTGAAGTTTTATAGCACGATGTTGTTCCACCTGGTCCTCCAGCTCAAAAATGGTCTCTTTCAGGTTTTTTATATCTGCTTCATTCTCAGATGTTTTTTCCTGCAGCTTCTGGCTGGTTCTGCTCAGTTGCTCAGCCTGCCGGTCACACAGCTCCTTCAGCTGACCACACTCAGTCTCAGCCTGGAGGGGAGCAAAGAAAGCTGCAAGTCTGTATGTCATAAGAGTTATCACTCATTAGAGACTTTCATGGGAGTCTCATGGACTTAAGAATCAAATCTGTGTTCTAAGCATTGTATAAACTGAGCTTCAATGAAGCTAAGACAGTTTCAGGAAACAGATGAGCTATGAATGTCAGTTTTCTTTCTTGGTAATACAGAAAATAAGATGCTACAAAGGAAATTAAGTTTTCTGTATGATTACGCTAATGAACCAAGAATAATTACATTCTGGAAAGCTCCACATCTATGTATCACATCATAAGAGTGGTATCACAATCTAAGAGCCACAATGATGATTAGTTCATCCACATTAACAATTTTGCTGCTTTAGCATGTATGTTTTCAATGTGTTATGAAAACATATGTAAGCAGAGCTAGCTACTGCAGATAAGCGTATTTTGGGATATGGGACATCTGGAATTACTAAAGGGAGAATCTTTCTGCACTTCACTTTATTGGCTGAGGCCCACAGATCAATGCTTCCAGGTTTGGGGGGAGCTCTCTGTTTATGAACAAGGAAGAGAAAGCAAGGTGTAGGCTGCCAATTCAGTGAGCAGCCCTGGGCACAGCCCGGCTGAAGGGCAGCTTTACAGAAGCCTGTGGTCTCGTTTGGGTGTCACAAATAGCCAATGATTCAAAACAGCTTAATCTGAGAGAAAGGAAGAGTAAAAAGGAGGAAATCTGTGGTTTCCAAACCAAGCAATAAAAAGTTTGGTACAGAGTCTGAACACTCAGCAGTTTTTCATTTATCCGTTATAAACTGCAGCTCCAGTAAGCACTTGGGAGCTTCCTCTACTAACTCCATTTGCTGCGGTCACCTATTTTAGCTGAAAGGACATCTGGCTTTTCTAAACCAAACCATGGAGGTGCTTTTTGGCAACACGATCTTCCTCTTCATGTAGCCAATTTTACTGTTCATGATCCTTTCCCTACACAGGAAAGCCTGCACACACTATCACTCTTTCTGCAGCAGTGGGACACAGCTGCTGGCTTGTGATTTATTAACACTTGTTCTACAATGCCTCACACTGCAGCTCTCCTCTGAACACCCAGGAACACCCAGAAAATATAAACCGTGACTGACTTCAGCTTGCTTGGAGCAAAGCTACAAAACTACCAACAGAGGCAGAAAAAAATTGTTCTGAAATGAATCTTTTTTTTTTTTTTCCCCATTATTTTACCTAGCCCCAAATGGTTGTTTTGCAAAAATAGTTTAGTTTTATGAAGATAAAGTAATCTGGAAGCTTGACCATGCATCAGTCATGTTGCTGTAAGTATCACCTTCCTTGAGGATTAGCTCATGTGTTCCCATGACCAATGGCACCTACAGTTCACTACTAATTAATCCTGATTAATTACTCAGAATTTAATATCTGCTGCTAATTACTCATGCCCTTCTTTCCATGTGAATTACCAAGTGATTTACAGTAGTATCTGTTCACATAATACAGTAAGTTTTTATTTACCTGTTCTTTGTTCCAGTGTTGATAGACACAACTCTGTTTCGTAAATTCTGCAGGCGATGTTAGGGGAAATGAGCTTTGAATTTATAAATGCAACTATGCTAACAGTTATTCCTGGGAAAATATGCATATAGCAGCACAGGCAGACTATCATACAACCCCAGCTTCCATTCAAAGCTAATCCATTCAATTTAATGTCTGAAAACTTACAACCAATGGCTTAACAATCTAAAGACCAACAATTACCTATTTGTGGAAGGACAGATAAACAACCATCACATTTTACAGCTGTTACTGCTTTACCTTAGATAGCAGACCCTGACTGTGCTTCAGTTCACTGTTTGCCTTCAGCAGCTCTTGCTTAAGCTCAGTGCAAGCTGCTTCTAACTGATCCTTTTCTGCACGGGCTACTTTCAGCATCTCTTGCACCTCAGAGTTGTCAGTAGTACATCCCATCACATTGATTTCGGCAGCCTTTTGTTTCTCACTCTCTAGCTGAGTTTTGAGTGAGCCATTCTCAATTTTCAGACCTTCTAAGGCAATTTTACAGTCCTCCAGAGTTTTTGTCATTGTGCTGTTGTTCTGCTGTTCCACTTCTAGACGTTTAAGCAGCTTCTCATTTTCTTCTCTCAGGCTTTTAATCACCTGCTGGGCATCCTGATGCTCCCTTTCTAAGCTTCGTAGGCTGCTGGTTAACTGTTGCTGAATGTTGAGCAATTTCTCTCTTTCAAATTGTGCTTTCTCAAGAACTTCTGCACATTTCTGTTCCAGCTCAAGGACCTTCCCCTCCTGAGCTCTGCTTTCTTCATTCTTGGATCGCTCCTGGAGAAGAGTCATTAGCTTCTCATTTTCCTGGCTCAGTTGTTCTGCCCTATCTCTGTGTTGATGAAAGGAAGTCTCCAAGAGAGCTTTCTCCTCCACTAGCTTCTCATTTTCTGTTGTCAGCTCCTGCACCATTTGCTGTTGATCTGATAGCTCCTGCAAAGTGGCTTGTAATTCTTCTGCCGTGCTGTGGTGATTCTCCTCCATCTTTTGTATTTTCTCTGTAAGAGACGCAACAGAAAGGTCACTAATATTGTTTGGAGAACTTCCTGTAGTGGAGCATTTGGAACCTTTGAAGTGGTTGCTGTTGGAGGATGTTGGCCTGGAAGGTACATCTGCTATATGTTCAAAATCAGACACATCGGGTGACAAGGAAGCTTTAGTCACATCACTACTAGAAGAACCCGAATTGCGCAGTGTCCCCCCATTCACATGCTGCCTGCGCTCATCCATTTCACCTCTCGACACATTTTTTGATTGGCTTCCAAAACTGGACTCTTGGGTAGTTGGGGTTGGGAGGCTGCTGTTGCCTCCACTGCTCGTTGTTGTGTCTGAGAGAGAAGAGTTCTCTAGATAAAGCAATTTCTCTTTCAAAACACGGTTTTCTTCTCCCAGGCTAGCAAGCTCTTTCTGAAAAGTCCTGTTTTTCTCCTGAAGGGTCCGTATTAATGGATCTATGTCAACAGGTGACACTGTTTCTACATTTTGGTTGGAAGCACCCATTCCTTCAGCATTAAGTGACCCTTTCTCTCTGCATTTCTTCAATTCACAGCGGAGTTTGGTGATTTCAGAATCTTTCGTCTTTGCTTCTGCCAGGAGCTCTTTAACCTGAGATTCCAGAACAGCCTTGTCACCACTTTCATTCTCTTGCTTGGACTTGCTAGTGGGGCGCACATGTTTGGTAGGAGTCAGTGTACCAGAAGAAGTGAGGCTGGGCTGTGTTTTCCTAGCATTGGCTTGGCCACGCAGGACAGCTCGCTCTCTGGATACAGAGGATGCTATTTCCCGGGGCGCTGGAATCCCCGAGCGCTTTGCAGCTGACACTGTTCCTTGGAGAGAAAGAGATGAGGCAAAGTGAGTGAGTTCATAAAGAAAACAAGTCACACAACACCCCCACTAGAGCATAAAGCAGTGCTGGAAAACACACTTGAGTGTCTGAATAGGTTTAGTCACCTGAGTGTGTGGGTTCATGTTTCAAAGGCTTCTATTACTTTGCATTTCTTCCTCTCCTCTCCCAAAGGAACAGTCTGATGAGCCTTTTCCCAATGTAATAATACGCAGATGCTGTAACCCATAAAGTACAAGCCCCAATACCAGGATAATAATTATTTGAAAATAAGAGCTCTTTACTTTGTGAAATGCTGAATTTAAGCCTATTAATTTCTGGGGGAAAAAAGCTCAGTAACTTAAGAAAACACACCCTCTTTGAAAACACATTATCATCACACTATTATTTTATCACACATAAAAGTAAAGTAGTTGCATTAGGCTCCATTTATGCAGGTCACCATAAAAAGGGCCTGAAACATTTCTGCTGACTGCAGATTCAGTGAAACACACAGCTCCTGGCACTGCTAACACTGAAACAATTGTGTTCTTGCAGCTTCTTGCAGAGATGGATGAGAGATATTTCATGTTATAAATTCCCATCCTCCTAAGGAGGAAGAGCAAAAGGAGATTAGAAAGCTGATGCTGTTCTCTTTGTTGTTGCTCCACCCCAACCAACTTAAAGCACAATACTATGTGATTACAAGGGAAATTAAGTTTCCATGTTGATTATCTTCATCTTCCAAAGCTCCCTGGGAGTATGGGACCATGGGTACTGAAGAAACAGTAAGAGCCATCCTATCCATGGAAGTATTCAGTTGGTTAAAGAAGCTGGCTCAAAAGGGAGGTATTATATACAAGTGGCAACACAATAAATTTTAAAAATCCCTGTTTTCAGGACCTGGCTCAAAAGGAAAAGCCCTAAAGTACGGAGTCATGAAGTTTAGGATATGGTACAATGAAGAGATATTGTCTGATGCAGCCACATAAACAGGATGCAAGAGACAGTTATGCAAACAGAAAGGGCTAGTGAGCCAGTGTTTGCAATTAAAACAAGTTCCAGAAGGACTGAGGGGAAATCCTAGAATCAATCATATCCCCCCACATTTGGGAGGCTCTTTTCTGTGAAGCATTCACAGAAAAATCAAAGGGCAGTGAAGACCAAAGGGGGAGCAGCCTCCCTTCCTTCCACAGCAAGCAGCTTCACAGCCCTCCCACAGCATTTCTCACACTGAGGATTGTCTCAGTGCAGTGATGGATGGGCTGTCAGTAACACAGGGCTGTGAAGAGTTAATACCAACACCACCCAGTTTGCTCAGCATCTCTTTTGAAGAATGCACTGGGTTTATAAACCCCGCACAAACAGGAGCCCCTCCTCCTCCCTCCCAAACAAACACACTCTACAGCAGGCACAATAAACACACGGACACAAAGAGCAGCTGAAGAAAAGCCCCCTGAACACAGAGGCTGTGCTGGGAGGAGAGCACAGAAAGGGCTCTGTCATGGCAGAGGCACAATAAGGCCAGAGACAAAGGCTCCAGTGTGTACGGGAAGAGATAGCAGGGATAGCCCGGCCGAACAGCCAGCAGCCCACACAGCTCCATTTAGTCATCTACAGCTGGGAACACCAGCATATCAAGGCAGCTCCAGGCTCCCCAGTGGGAAGTGCAATGCAAGCAGAGATGGGAGTTGTTCCACGGCAGCTCAAACGACCACTAGTGCAACTCCAGCCCTTGTGAGAGCTGAAGCCCCCCTGCTCACTGCTCATTCCCATCTCCTAACCCAAGGGCTCCCAACTGCTGAGATCTGGCACCTGCAAACTGCATTCATACTGAGCTTGAGAAAAGCTTTTCGTGCTGATGCATCTAATGCCACAAACGGAAGGACAAGAGGAAAACTGAATGGTCCATGATGTGGTGCATCACTTCCAGTGGAGAAACACCAGCTCACACAGCTCCTTGCTCAGAGGCTGAACCCCAGGTGTCCAGGCAGAACAGCACAAGGTACTTGAATGCATCTCTTGGACATACAGCAAGACAAGTGTCCAGAGAAGCAGTACTCACACAAGCTATAAATCATACTACAGATTTGAGATGTAAAAATACACATTACAAATGGCCACTTCAATGGAGCTGAAGGTGTGGATTATAAAAACTTCTGTTATGTCCTGGACTTTTATTCAGTCTGAAGGGGGTTTCTAGTATTATAACAAAGTTCAATGATAAAGCAAGTACCCTGAATAACTCATCTTTTTGAGTGTAATGACATGACTGTCACCACATGACTGGGGAGCGTTACAGAAGCAGTGGGCAGTACTGGGTATGTTACAAGAAATAAGGATGCTACAAATTGCATGGCACTGAGAAAATTGCCTTTTCCCAAGAGAAATGTAGCACTTCTGGTAGCACTTCTTAGTAACCAGTGTGCTTCTAATCACTACTAGATGACAACTGGAACATGATCCTCAGCAATGGAAGACATAAGGATAACAATTAAGTTTAACTGGGATTATCTGTACTTCACCAGCTTGCCAACCAGCGCAGGCTCTGAGCTTACTCAACATGTCCCATGTGTTTTGCAAGACTCCATGCCCTGCTGACTTGTCCTAAGTCACAAAGCATTTGCTATCCATCAATAACCATAACCAACCTGTTTCTTTCATGTCATACAAGTGTTTATTTTTCCTCTCCGCTCTCCAAAACAGTGCCACGCAATACTAATGTCACAGAGCCCAGAGAGAAATAACTCTGAATGCATGTGTTGATTACAAAGCACCAAAACATGTATTAGCAATACTTTAAAGCCTATTTCATAGGCAACTCCCCCTCTCAATGACCTTGACTTTGAGCAGTGTAGCAGTTATAAATGCAACTGCCAGTCCCACAGGCCTAAGCACTCACTATGCAGGAACTGCCTTTAGGGCTGTACAAGTCACCCTGGTGACCTGATCCACATCCTACTTCGATTATGGTCTATGGGAAACTCCAGCTAGATATGTGCCTGCCAAGCTGCAGAACCCAATCTGGGGTTGATTTATGCTGCTGCATAAAGCGGCTATAATCCTGCAGAACTTCCTAGAAAGTGCTGCTTGTTTTGAGTAGGAAAGAAGAACGATCAGCTCTGCATCTCAAAGGACATCTTCTGTTTTAAGAAGATAAGATCCCCAACCAAAAGCCAAACTGTTAAGTATCCTTGGTCAAAATGGTGCTATGGTTCCCCATTCCTGTTCGCACTGTTTGTCCACCCTACCCAAACTGTAGCTTAACTCTCATTAACTTTAAGTCTTTCCCATCACCTCATGCATCCACGCTCTGATCAAACATGTATTTCTCATTCCCTCTACACCGTACCCAACCTCCCATTCTCACAGTCTACATTCACTCTACTAATGGGCTAAGCTTGCCTACAGAGGAACTGGGAATTACTCCAGTGAGAGTTATTGCCTGAAAACCTGTTTTGATCAGACCAAGGCGACCTCAGCATCATGTTCCTTGCCTTGGCACCCAGCAAGGACTCTACTTTCAGCATCAGCCATGCTATTCAGGTGTGAGGGATTAAACCTCAACATGCATGTAGAGCGTATAATTTTCCACGTGCTTTAAAATGAAGAGCTATTTAACTCAAATCCCCTGAAGCACATAATTGTTAAGTCTAGGTTACTGGACAGGGAAGCAGAGAGCAATGAAAGGACTCACCCAGCAAGGTCAGTAAGGGTTAGGGACCTGGAACTCCTGGCTAGCAGCCTGCTGTGTAGCTTTGTTTGCACCACTTTCTGCCAGGGAATACTCACTGAGTTTCCATTGGAGTCAGAAACAAAGTGGGACTTTAATGAGATAAAAGTTGACCCCTCACCATGATCTCCAGCCATTTTAATCCCATTTTGAGCACTGCTACAGTGTTTTTCACAGAAGGATCAGGATTACTCTTCAGTTTTTCCACATAATCTATTTTTGATCTAAGCTCTCAGCACCTGCTGCATAAGCTCCCATAGGGGCATCCACAAGCAGAAGAAAATAGACTGAAACAGAGAAAACCATTTCCCAGTCCCCCAAGGTAGAACACAGGGCTGGTGTTCAGAAGTCCATGCAGGATGGGTAATGTAATTGCAGTGATAGCAGGGGAAGGAATAGGAGACGGCAAACATTTTACCATAGTCACAGGGGGGCCATACATGACATTTGGGAATGAAGGTTCCGTAAGTTTATCTGCCTTCACACTCCAAGTGCTCTGAGAGAGCACATAGCATCATCTTCCAAGTAAAGCACTAGCCCTGAGGTTACATTTATTCTACTTGACTCTTACGCAGAATTAAGAGTTCGAATATCTGCTTCTCCAAACCCAGAGCAGAGAAAGAATCTCAGTTGGGAAGGACGTCATCTGACCCAGAAAACACCTTTCAAAATGTTCTAATTTATAACTTAAATCTATTTTTTAAACCTGAAGTCAATACAAGATTATTCACCTCTGGCCTTTGTGCCACTTGTGTCCCATAACCTGCCCTTTTCTTAATCCTTCCCTCCATCAACATACTATTAACCCAAAGGTTAATGCCATGGGCTCCTGCTGTTCCAGGGACTAGATTTACAGGGAATGTTCCATTTTGTACTTTCTTCCTAAGTTTTAACCCCGTCAACTGTTAAGCTAAGAACACTAAAAACACATTTCCTTTAACATACTCAAAAAACATGTTAGTAAGTCATCCTTCCATGGTTTCAGTAGGTATTAAGTCTCCTGCATGTGGAGTTCCTCTGTATAATTTAAGTGTGTTGATCATCTACTCATTTCACAAAGCATTTCCGTCATGTAAGATTAAACCATGAAGACAGATGCATCTTTGGTGTGATGTTTCTAAACAATGGATACCTTATTTAAATGTCATGGGCAAAATAACAAGAAATAAAAGAAAGCTATTCATAGCACTCTGCAACATTAAAGTCATGCATTTCAAAAAGGCAAACTGTTGCCTGCAGACAAGTCTGCAGGCTCATGATTATCTGCTGCT